TATATATGTCTTTAAAGTGATGCTAGTGGCTTCTGTATGATCCAGCTGTATTAATAATAAACGTGTAAAGAAACACCTAAACTGTCCTTTAATCTGCTTATAGCCAACTTTTGAATGTTTCTATTCTGGGTATAAATGCTAAGTATGCGAGCAGTAAAACACCAACACCAGCCTTTGACGTATAAACTTCTGATTTTGAAAGAAAATGAAAACAACATTTCTCCAATATCCAACCTCATCACACAGAAATTCAACTTATATTCTAGCAATTTGCTGCAGCAACTATTTTGTAACACTATACAAAATGAATTTATAATATATAATAAGAGTCATTTCTAGGGGACACGGCTGCAACACAAGACACTTTTCTTCCTAATTTCATGTCTTCAGGTTGTATTATTAAAAACCTGTGGCTATTGTGTTCTTCTTGGTTTTATATTATCAAAAATCCATTAAACTTGTATGTATTTGTGGTTTTTGATGTCAGTGGAATAAAAGACGCTACTTGGAGACATTATCTTCGTCTCCTGGATCTTGTGATTGAGAATTTTTTATACTTCTTTCTTACAGATCAAACATTTAATCAATCAATAGAAAGAGAACCAAACAGAGTTCTGACACGTCTAAACTAAGTGTTCACATTTTGATGTGTTTGTGTGACAGAATTTTTAAGGAATTTGTGAAAAAGCACTAAATATTCTCAGTTTCCAGCTTTGCAAAAGAGCCTGTTTGCAATATTTTACGCGATCAAACGCATATTATTTGAGTTTTGGATTGTTTGTCGAACAAAACAGCTTGTTTGAGTTGAAATTTCTCAAGTCCGGGTTTTTTTTGTTGTTGCTATTTTTGTGTCACATGTTTTATGAACAGCTGTGGATCCAGATGTTTTTGTTTGTTTTGTTTACAAATGTAGGAATTATGTTAAAAATCACCCTGAATCTCTTCATCTGTCATTGGGATCATGCATTAAAGCTTCAAAACACTGAGATATCATCTTACTGTTGGTAAAAGTCTGCAAAATACTCTCCTGTCATGTCAGGTGTTTTCTGATGTCGATTTTACGTCACAGTCTCCCAGCAGCACATCTGCAGCAGTTTCATTACTGTGTATACGAGAAGGTGGCCTCCTGATCATTATAGCAACTAACAACATACAACAGGCAGCCATAAACTATTTTATTGTCTTATTGTAAACTGCTTAGATTAGTTATCATCTGTCTAAACATGGGCAGAAGTTTTAATGTTTTTTTTATCAGCTACACGGTTATCAGATTTGCTCTGATTATTATTAGTTGTGTATTTGGGGTATTGTGATATGGGACTAATTATAGCTCTGTAAATCATATCAATAAGATATCCTGCTCTCACTATGATGCTAATGTGGAACATGGACTCAGTATAGAAAGACAGTGGGTCTGTTACTCTGAAATACCTTTAAAATGGTGCAACTACAGGTTAAAATGCAAAGAATCTCAACAACATTTCTGCTGAAGTGAGTGGCCTACGAGCTGGTCTGGTGATGAAGCTTCAGAGTGAATAATTTGCTGCTTTGACAATTGTTAGTAATTAGGTTAGATAGGTTTCTCAAGTATTCATTTCCTCCAACCACCGACTGCACACAAAGAACTGCATGTAACAAAAGACAGTCTGAAGCTCAAGTTAAGATGCTTAATTGGAGTTGAGATGCCGTTTAAAGGGAATCTTTGGATAAATGGGTCAGTTAATGATACTTCCTGTTTGTTTTTATGAGGTACATTTAGAAGGTGAACTTGTATTTTGCATAATTTTGTCAGAGTTTAGCCAAAATATTTTAGTTACTCAGCACAATTCCCATCATAAATCACTGTGAGGTAAACTTATTTCTCTACTGGCAACCACTCTGGCTCAACATTTGTTCTTTTAATGTGTTATATAAATAAAAAAAAATATCAAAAATGAATAACTGTTTAGCATTTTGCACGAAAAGAGACATAAAGAATCATCAAAATAGTTTCCAGGTAATACTGCACCCAGGTAATTGTTTCATTTTTACTTTCATACGGTTATATAATTCATAATAAAGCAGCATATTTTATATACATTTCAGCTGTATTTGTAAGTAAGTGCAGGATCTGAGCAAACACAAACACTCTGCTTTGTTTAAAACAGAAGAAACAACTTTTGCAGCACAAACCTGCTGCATGCTGGACCCCAAGGCTCAACTTCTGAATGGAGAGCAGGGCACAGGACACACACACACACACACAGACTCACACACACACTCTTCCCACTACCTGCTAATTAAAGCCTCATCACAGTGACATAAAGGTGATTAGCTCCACTGGGAGGCTGCAGAGCCAATCAGCAGGCCCTGATCCATCACCCCTGCTCCCCTCTTCCTCCCCCCTTCCTCCCCCCTGATCGATAACTCACATTGGTGTAGAGCACAGAGTCGATCTCTCCGGCCTCAGACAGCTCGCTCAGGTTCCTGTCCCAGTGCAGGAACGTCTCGCTGCTGTCCAGGATCTCCATGGTTCTGTCGGCGGCTCCTCAGTGGAACACGGCGGGCTTCTGTTGCTCTGCAGTCGCGCTGGAAAAACCACAAACTCTGCTCCAAGTCCGCCGACAAAAAAGAAGAAGAAGAAAAAAAGTTCCCAACAAACTTGTGAAGGAAAAGCAAGGCGGCAGCAGCAAAGAGAAGCTCGTCCAGCAGCTCTTGGGTTCAGAGGGATGGAGGATGTGTCAGCGGTCGGATCGGGGCTGAGAGCTGCTGCAGCTGCTGCTGTTGTTGTTGTTGTTGATCATCTCCTCTCTGGTTCAGGGTCCACAGACAGCGCTGAGCAGCCGCCGCTTCCTTTTCTTTCCTCCTCACAGTCAGACGCACAGGAATGTGTGGGCGGAGCCACGGAGGCCGGCTGGACGGCAGGAGGACCGAATAACTCCCCCTAACTCACCAGAGTCACCATAAGGACGGTTAATGAGAAATAAGTCTGTTGCTGAGAAACTTATACATGAAATGTGCCTCATAAAATGTGGTGAAGATGTGCACTGACTCGTCTTTCCCAGCTGTTTGTGACACTGATTTCAAATATGTACGTTAACAAAAGCGTTTCCTGTGTAGAATTTCAAAATAAAATCCTTTATTGTTTCACTGTTGGAACCTGTTGCATCAAAAAATAAAGTGAACAAACAGCAGTCAGTTATACACAAGGGGACTTTTTAAATATTTGCTGTTCTGATGTTTGTTTTTTGTCAACTACAGTTTCCAAGATCAAGAACGATTTTTTAACTCTTCATTCTAAATTACAACAACTACCACCACTATGAGCATCATAATTATTAGAACTACTATATTAGAGGTATCAAAATAGGAATTGATTTTAAACGTTTTTGAAACCATAAAATCATACAAATAATGTACATTCTATTCATGATTTAAATTCAAGACATCTATTTTTTAATGTGTTAGTATATAAGTAAAACTTATACAGGTGCACATGTATTAAAAAACTATCATCATAAAACAAAGAATAGCTACNCTCTTTTAGCTCCATTTTTGGTCTCCTCCTCCAACTCCTCAGGGACATTCCTGACTCTTAAGCTGCCAAACATCATGACAGTTTTGAGCAATTAGCCAATCAGACTTACTGAGGATGTTCCCGTGTTTATCCTCCTCACTAACAAATACACTGACTCAGTCTCCATACGGTATTTTCTTCCTTCCTGAAACACCACAGCTGCAGCTCTGCGCTCTGATTCTGTGTGCTGCTGTTAGACAGGAACTGTAGCCTCGGGTCTTGTTTAAAGGACCTACATTCACAGCTTGAACGCTCTCTGAAGTTTTAACAACACAAGTCCCTACCTGTCTGCAGGACTCTGTGTGTGTGTGTGTTTGTTTTATGCTGTGGGGACACAGATGGGTTCACACCGTCACAATGTGGCGACTCAACTTCTTATTTGGTTAAAAAAATGAGTTCTCATAGTGTGGACCATTAAAATGTCAAACAAAGAAGTGGACTCAGGTTAGGGCTACGGGAAAGGAATGGA